CTTCCTTCTACTGCAAATAAATGGAAATAGGAGGTGATTTAAATAATTGCAGCATGTGAGAACTTCAAGAAAGACTATGTGGGGCTCCACTTAGAGGTCCATTGTAGCTTAGCTGTACATAGGCGATGCTTGGTGAATAACTGTGCACTTAGATTTTAGGTCAAAATTATATCCTTGAATTGTACATGTAGATGCTATTATTTAACAATTATCTACTCTGGTTGGGTTTTTTAAATGAATCACTCTATTCTGTTCCTGCCTACAACATAAAAAGATCATCTTTTGACCCCTGTAACCTTCACTTCATAGTAGATAGTGGTTGGCGCTAAGACAAGAGGAGACAGACATCCAGGACAGGAAGATTCATCTTTCTAATTAATCTCCAGGCAACGAGGAGGCTATGTTATCTGGAGGCAGTGCTGAGTCTGGGCCCTGACTGCACTACCCTGTCCTCTCTTTGTCATTTGTTCACTAATTCTTTCAATAAGTGTTTGTTGACCAAATACCAAGGAGCATCTTGCTATGCGAATACAGAGCCCTTGACTCAGGCCACACAGATGGTTCCTGGTTGTTCACAAGCACAAAAGGGACATAGTGCCCTTCCTTGGGCTGAGCACACACTGTTGGGTTCCTTTTATTCTTTCTACTTTTTTGACTGGAGGTTAAAAAAAAATGTATCTTTGTTTTTTTCATGTCATTGCAGCAACCACACACACTTGAGTTGGTGGAGGAAGGGGTGGGAAATATGTAAAGGGACTAAATATGAAGTAGAATTCTCTTCTTCTAGGAACAGGATAAACTGGGATGCTTTAGCAAAAGGCCCTGGCTTATAATTGCTGTTGGACACAAGGACTCAGCAGACTCTTAAGCCTTCCGTGGACTGCTGCACAGCAAGTGTTAGAGGCTCTGCATGAGTTTCCAACTTTTATTTCATGGTGGCGATCCTGATGCACACCTTTTCCTCAAAGCAAGATGATAAAAAAAAAATCTTACTATGGTCAGCTCTCATTCTGGATCAATGTCTTCTTAATTCTAGGAAGAAAGGCATTGGGTGGATACTTTTTTCCTTACAAGATCCTCATTCGCTTTGACAGCATTGGAAACAGCTGTCAGGTTTGGTCCACAAATAAATGGATGCCACGTGACAGGCTTGTGGATCATTTGGGGGAAGTACCTTTCTCATGCCACACAAGTAGCCAAAGAAGTGACTCTCATGTCTGTGTCACGTGACCGTAGGAGTATCCGTACACCGCAGTATTCGGTGCTGTTGTTCTCCAGAACGCTTCCTCTCTCATTTTGTTAAGGCTTTTGCTCAAAGTACCACCTTGGCTTGGCGGGAAAGTGGAGTCTGTAAACAGCCAGTGTGATGGGAAAAGGTTTGTCCAGAAGTGACAGAAGCTGTCAGAGCAAAGCAAAGTGTGGGGTTGGGGTGCACAAACTTGATGGGACCAGGTCGAGGCAAGGCAGGGTGGAGAGTTCGAACACAAACAAGAGAGAAGACGGAGACCTGAAACTGGCAGATGTGGTGAAGCCTGTGACTGAGCAAAGGTAGCAGGAGGCGGGAGGAGCAGGGCTCTTTTGGGGTGCATTGTGTGTGCTGAGCCTTTTGGTTTTCTTTTTTCCCCATGCCTGATTTCTGAGAAACAAGAGAACAAGGAACACTTAATAGTACTCACAACAGTGACATTGCCCAGGATGGCTTTTCTAAGGCTGTCGTTGGCTTTCAGATCTTTGTCTTATCCTAATAATTTATTCCCAGACCTGAGAGGGCAACAGGAAAGAGCAAAACTCCAGGAGTGCCTCACTCGTGCCGCAGCTGGGGTTCATTAACTGCTGCTCGGCCATTAGCCTTCGGTCCCAACAAGCCCCGCCCACCACATGTGGGAGATGTGATCTAGTTCAAAGGTGCAGTATTGAGTTAGTGAAGAAAACGCATTGAGGCTCGACCACATTTCAGAAAGTGTAAGCACCCATTTGCCTTGTGTCTGGTTTTGGTCTCCTGGGGCTCAGGCCTGGAATGAACTGGGTAGAAATGGTCTGAGGATGACCTTGAACTCCTGATCTTCTGCCTCCCACCCGCTGGGATTAGAGGCAGGCTTGACCAGACTTGGTCTTTCCTTGTTTCTTCAGGATGAATCCAGGCCTTTGTCTCTGAGCTCTATCTGTAATTTTTTTTCCATTTTGATAAAGTATTGGACTATGTAGCTCATGCTACCCTCTCTTAGCCTCTTGGTTGCTGGGATTGTTAATCCCACTGGCAAGAATAAAACCACTACCACAATTTGAGCTAAATTTAAAGCAAGTTTAAGGGCAGGCCAGCACTGCCTTCTAAGTCAGGTTAAAGAGAGCAGCCTGAATCCATTGTTGGGACCCCTATTAACTAAAATCAAAGGAGTGGTTGTAAAGCAGATTTACAGAAGAGAGACAAGGGGGCAGTAAGAAAATACAGGAAAAAACAAACCTCCGAAAACATCATGTGATCAGGGAGGGCGAAGATATTCTCGGCTAATCAAGGGCTGGGCAGTGGTGGTGCACGCCTTTAATGCCAGCACTCGGGAAGGAGAGGCAGGCAGATCTCTGAGTTCAATGCCAGCCTGGTCTACAAAGTTCTAGGACAGGTTCCAAAGCACCCAGAGAAACTGTCTCAAAAAACAAAAACAAAAACAAAAAAACTGAAGAAAGAAAGGTCATGGATTGGGGAAGGTCAGGTTCCAGAAAACTCAGCTCTTAGAGTATGTTGAAACTTCTTTTTAACAATACAACAGATCAGCTTCTGCCTTCAAAGTGGAGTCAGGCAGGTTCCTGGGGATTGCAGATGTAGACCACCATACACAGCCACACATTGCATTTCCATAGCCTTCATTTCAACCCCTCATATCTGAATTTGAGTTATAGACTAAGGTTCCTGTCAGAGACTTAGAAGTCCAGGGGCTGAAGAGATGTGGCTCAGAAGTTAAGAGCACCAGCTGCTCTTCCAGAGAACCTGAGTTCTATTCCCAGCAACCACATGGTGGCTCACAACCATCTATGAGTGGGATCTGATGCCGTCTTCTGGCACACAGGTGTTCGTGCAGACACCTCATATATAAAGAATATCATATATAAAAAATACAAACAAACAAACAAAGTAACTCATACAGAAAGCAAAATCCTCCCGTGTCCCAGTAAGAGCCGTATTTCTACCCCAGGACCGCCTGATTCTTGGGAAGTTCTGCCATGTAAATGTAGCTGTGAACAGAGTGTGGCCCCAGGAGTTTTGTTCTGCCCAGTAGGGAGCTATGCAAACAAGCAGTACTGCGGGTGATAGTACAAGCGTATGATGGATTCCACCGCAGAAATAGATGCTGCCATCTGCCCAGCAGCTCCTCCGGTGATTCCCTCTCCTCCCTACCTGCCTTGCCCCTTCTCCAGGTTGAGAACAGATGGCACTCAAGATATATTTGCCGAATGTTTTTCCTTATAATGACAACGTCCTGGCTTTAGGCAGAGAGGAGAGGATGTGCATGGTTAGGGGGTACCTGCCAAAGTGGAGCTCAAAGAAGGAAGTTTTGAGGCTAGATTACAGGGCAGCTGGGACCTCACCCTGGTGCTGTGCCTCCTGATAGAGTTGGAAGAAGTGTTCCGGGGTAGAGGCCAATCAACATGTTAGCTCTTAGAATCAAGGAAGAGTGGCTCCTATATGCGAGGTAGCTCTGTGGAGGGATTTCCTGGATCTCTCTTGCCAACACTTGTAAAATTTTCAGCTGGATTCTTGGAAGGAGAGATTCTTAGGGTAGGTGACTGAATGTGTGCAGGATGTGAACATAAACTCTGGACCATTAACGGTTTTCAGTACGGCCAGTGAAGCCAGGATTGTTGCAGATCTATTGCTGGACTTAGACACCTTTGGGCGTCTCAATGGTTGTAAACTTCTAGACTCTGGATTATAGAGTTTACGGGGCACAGGACAAATGAACTAAGCAGAATTCCCTTTCACTGTTTTTCTTCGGCTTTAGTTTGTCCTCTTTGTTCTTTTCTTCCCTTTGGTTCCTTCCCTCCCTTCCTCTCCCCTCTCTGCTTCCTTCTTCCTTCACTCTATTCCTCCCTTCCTTTCTTTTTTCTGACAAAGTCTCACTCTATGACCCTGGCTAGTCTTGGACTTGCAGTTCTCCTGCCTCTGCCTCTGGAGAGCTGGGTTTACGGGCATGTACCACCCGCTCCTGGCTTTTTGTGGTTGTTGCTTTGTTTTGAAGCAGTATCTCGAGTAACCCAGGCTGGCCTTGAAGTTCCTAGGCAGGGATAGTAGAGGACGTCTTAAATTCCCGATCACTCTGGGGCTGCCTCCTAAGAGCTGGGATCATTGGCATGCACCATCACGGCCTGGCTTAGTTTGTATTTTAGCTCGTGTGTTGAATCATCAGCTATAAAACCTCTTCTGGCTTCCAATGACAGGATGGCATTTTCTCATATTCTAAAGACGGTGATTATTTGAACGGAAACAACTTACCCCTTCAAGTGCCCACTAAGCTAAATATCTGGACACGCTTCTTCCCCTGCCCAGCTGACACTACTTAAAGAATTATATTTGCTGCATGAGCTGGCATGATGTCACTCACTGTGAGAAAGTTCCTGCTTCATCCAAGGAGAACCTGCTTGGGAGTTAAAGAGCACTGCTGAGCCCCTTGAGTCAGAACTGTGCTGCTCACTCCTACCCTGTTGTCTTCTTCTGGCCATGCTGGCAATGCCTGCTGTGTGACGGAACAAGATGAAACTCAGACTCCTCTCCATATTCCCTCTTTACGTGACAGGAGGCTAAAACGGCCCTTCAGTTAGTCTTGGGGCTAATGGTCGGGCTGTTCAGACAGCGGGAGGCTAAAAAGGGGCGGAGTAGCTAGTCTACTGCTGATGGTTACATTGTCATGGCCCCTTCTCCTTCAGATGCATACAGCGGGAGGCTAAAAGGGGGCAGAGTAGCTAGTCTACTGCTGATGGTTACAATGTTGTTGCCCCTTCTCCTTCAGATCCATGAGAAGGAAGAAGAAGAGTTCAACGAGAAGAGTGAGAATGACTCTGGCATCAATGAAGAGCCTCTACTCACAGCTGATCAGGTATGAACGGGAATCCCCACTCACGTCCCGGGAGAGAGCCTTTGTTCTATAGGAAAATGTGGAAGACTACATCCTTGCCTCATCCATCCAAGTCAGAAGATACGTGGTCTCATGCTGCCTTGCTGATGAGTTCGGTAGCTTTGATAAGAGGCTTAATTTCTCTTTATGTCTCAGTTGATCTGCTCACGGTAGACATGGACACAATTCCTAGGACCTGGGCTGGTTGTCGCAGTTGGTGATGAAGGCCAGAGTCATGTTTAGTTTCCTGGCTTTACTCCCTGAAAAGCCTCCGCAGACTTTTTTTTTTTCTTTTTTAATGTTATTTTTTGTTTCCTTTTGTTCTTTAATTTTGTTTTTCTCAAGACAGGGAGGGTTTCTCTGTGTAGCCCTGGTTGACCCGGAACTTGCTCTGTAGACCAGGCTGGCCTCAAACTCAGAGATCCCCTGTCTCTGCCCCCCAAATCCTGGGATTAAAAGCGTGTGCCACCATGCCCAGCTCTCTGTAGATTCCTGATACGTGGAGCTTGGGCACTTAAGGAAGGGGTCTGAAGTGCTTGTTTTTTGAAGACATAGTAACAGGTGAGCTCTCTGTGTGGTGGATGTTTTATCACATTTTATAGAACTCTGGAAACTTTTAGCCTTCCAAAAGGCGTTTATAGACATTCTGCCTTTGTGGGGAGGAAGAGGCCATGTTTCACTTTAGGGATGGAGTTTATGATGTAATTTTAGTGATTTCTCACTTCAGAAGTGTTGAGTCTCCTCAGTCAACAAACATCTGGACGTGCTTATTTGAGCTAGACACCATGCCAGTTTAGGAGCTGTTCTGAATGCACCCCACTGGGATCAGCAGAGCCAGAAAGAGCATCTTAGTAGAGGTGATCTTCAAGCCTGTGGATAAAAGTAGGATTCATTTTTTTCTTTTCATTTACTTTTTTAAAAAAAGTAGGATTAAATATGGGTAAAGAATAGGGAAGAATGGGTCTGGAGAGATGGCACTGGCTGCTCTTCCAGAGGTCCTGAGTTCACTTCTCAGCAGCCACGTGCTGGCTCACAACCATCTGTGACAGAATCTGATGCCCTCTTCTGGTGTGCACGAAGACAGCACTCTTGTACGTAAAAATGCATAAATAAATAAATCTTGTTGCTGTTGTTGTTTTTAAATTTAATTTAATTTTATTGTTTGGACAGGGTTTCTCTGTAGCTTTGGAGCCTGTCCTGGAACTAGATCTTATAAACCAGGCTGGCCTCAAACTCACAGAGATCCACCTATTTCTGTTTCCTGAGTGCTGGGATTAAAGGTGTGTGCCACCACTGTCCAGCCATAAGTAAATAAATCTTAAGAAAAAGAAAAGAAAAGAAAAGAAAAGAAGAGAAAAGAAAAGAAAAGAAAAGAAAAGAAAAGAAAAGAAAAGAAAAGAAAAGAAAGGGGATTGAAGGAAAACATGTCAAGAACAGGTGCGGTGTCTATGCTTGTAAATGCAGTGCTTGGGAGGTGTAGGAGGGTCAGGAGCTCTTGGACAACCTTGTTGAATGAGACCCTGTCTCAAAAAGCAACAAAACAAACACAAAATAAAAGAACATGCTTTGTTTCTGACTGGCCTGGAACTCCTTATACAGACCAGGCTGGCCTCAAACTCAACCTATAATGAAATCTGGTGCCCTCTTCTGACATTCAGGCAAACATGCAGGCAGAACACTGTATACATAATAATTTTTTTAAAAAAAATATTTTTACTTTATGGCTATATGTAAGAGTCTCTATGCATGTTGGTGCCTGGTGCCTAGAGAATGTGTCAGATTCCCTAGAAGTGTAGTTACAAACAAGAGCTACCAGGTGGGTGCTGGGAACTGGACCCAAGTCCTGTGGAACTGCAGCAAGTGCTCTTAATTGTAGACTCACCTCAACAGGTCCAGGGCTCGCAGTTTTTATTGTGACTCGAATGGAAGGATCCTACCACAATGATAGGCTCTCTGTTTGTCACCTTTTTCATTAATTTGACCAAATACTGAACAAAAGCCAGCTTAACAGGGGAAGGGTTCATTTTGCTCCAAGTCTGAAGGTACAGTCCACCGTGGCAGTGAAGTCTCGGCAGCAGAAAGTCATGGCTGCCGGTCACGTGGCATGCACATTCAAGAAGCAGAAAGATAAACGCTGATGCTCCCCTCAATTTCTCTTGTGAAGGCCCAGAAATGTGAACCTATTCCACCTTGTCGGAAGGTCAGAGTTTGAGCTTGCTTAAAGCTGTTGACAACAGCTGCTTGGTGTTTTGGACATTAAGACGGCCCATGGAGGTAGATCCACTCCACCCTGACCAAAGGTCAGAGAATTCAGGCATACTTCTGATCCTTTAAAAGAGTAAGTCACAAAACAATCCCACACCAGTTTGGAATTATGATTAATAAAAGGGTTATTTATTTAAAGGAAAAACTTACAGATCACCGTCCTAGACAACAGCCCTCTGCACGACCAGGAAAAGAGTCTGGTAGTCGGAAGCGGAGTCTGGAGCAAGAGAGGGAGCGCATGGTCACCGCTGCTTTTTCAAGCCAAAGAGACCACACCCAAGTGGACTGGTATCTTAAAGGCTACTGGCTGAAGGAGCAGAAGGAGCTCCCATAGTAATCCTTCTTTTGAAAAAGGAGGTTTGGCTGAGTGGTGGTGGCATATGCCTTTAATCCCGGCACTCGGGAGGCAGAGGCAGGCAGATCTCTGTGAATTCAAGGCCCGCCTGGTCTACAAGAGCTAGTTCCAGGACAGACACCAAAGCTACAGAGAAACCTTATCTCAAAAACCTGGAAAAAAAAGAAAGAAAGAAAGAAAGAAAGAAAGAAAGAAAGAAAGAAAGAAA